TTTGGACCATAGCGCGCTCTCAACCATGGATGCTGCCATAGGCCTCGCAGCTCTAGCGTTTGCAAAGCTAGGGAGACCACTTTTGGGTGGGTTTGGAAAGGGAACCTTTGAAAGAGGTTCCCTCCCATCCATTGTTTTAGGGCTAGGGCAGGGTACGTCCCTGTGCCAGTGCAAAGTTGTTTCAAACGTTGGAAACGGCACCGGGATGCCAGACTCCCCAACCATGGACAAAATTAGGTGTCGCCCTCTCATGGTTGCTCTGAACCTCAAAGCAATATACCAAGTCACAAGGGGAGCAAATTGGTGTGGGATCCCAGTTGCTGAGTGGCGTGGAAGGGTTCCGATTCCTTTAAACGCAACCAACCAAGACAGGATGCCCATCCTTCTTTCCCCATGGACATCCCACTGGGCATTTGAGTCTTATTTCCCCTTGTGACAGGGGTCTCGGAGCACTCCGTAGGGCGTCCATTGACGCCGCCTATCGCAGGGGCAGCCGCCGCTTCGCTATCAAAAGTTCGGCTTCCCCTACCGCTGCGAGACCAGCGGCTTGCATGCAGTCAGGGGTCCAATCGGTACTTCAATTTGGCAGCAGGGCAGCGCATTTCGGCGGCCAAGTGCGGTTTTAGCTTCCTTTTGGTGGGCTTCTAGGAGACACATAGTCAGCCCCCTTCTCCCAGCAGTGGAACACATTCAATCTTGGCCCGGTTTTTCTGGGCCTCAAGGCCTTCTTGGGGGGGCAGGGGTTGGAATCTGGTCCGCGGCCTTTCACGGATGGAACTGGTTTGGGGGTCTCTCAACGAGGTCAGAGCTGAGGGTTGAGGGCTGGCTTCGAGCCACATCCGCGGATCTGGCGAAAGGATGGGATCAACATTTGGGTATTTCGGAATTGAATTCTACCCTTCATGAGGAATTCCGGGTCATGAGGAAGCCCTTCCCTGCAATTCAGGAGGAATTGAATTGAATGTACAAGAGGAATTCCGTGCACTGATCTTTTTTGAGAATTTCCGGTCTTCCCTGTGAGACCTCAAAGGCACAGAAACTGCAGGGAGGGTTCCATTTGTTGCTAGATGGGACCACACAAACGATTTGAGCGCACCCAATCCAGACCCTGCTTGAGACAAGAGGTATTTGCCCATCAAGGAGTATTTTGAAATGTGTGTATATATATATAGTTTATACATACATAAGGGGTAGCAGAAGCACCTGACGCCTTGTTGAGTTCACAAGGCCAATGGCTCCCATGTTGCTGTCAATTTGTATTTAGATGCCTGGTACCAGTGCTCCATTCCGAGCGTGGTTCCCGTGTCTCGAAATGGGGGAATCTCTGAATGAGAGGTTTCCCTTTTGCGTCCCTTGGAAGAGCACCACACTCATATCCTTTGCGCGGCTCATATTCCACCGTGGATCAAAACGCCGTTTTTCAGCGCAGACGCTAAACAAAGCCCACCCAGGCTAGCCACCTGGAAAGCACACCCGCTCGCGTGCACTCTCTCAGCGCTGCTCACACAGCAGCCGCATGGTCAGCACACCTGGCACTGCTCACACGCCAGCCCCATTATTATTATAAACGCACCCGCTGACGTGCGCCCGCTCCGCCCCATTCGGCTCTATAGTTTTTCTTCTGGAAAAGGAGAGAGCAAAAGGACGCAAGACTCCTTCTCAGGACCATTTGACACCCCTGCCAAAACAAATACCCCTTTCTACTTTACACACGCCAGCCACATGGTAAGCGCACCCGCTCAAGTTAATCATGGCAAGCACGCTCGCTCACGTGCACCCGCTCAGCACTGCGCGCACACCATTCAAGTGCGAAGCACACTCGCTGACGTGCACCCTGATAAGCGCACCCGCTCGCGTGCGCTCGCCCTGCGCTGCACAAGCGCACCCGCTAAGCCAAATGGTAAGCTCAGCGCTGCAAACGCGCCAGCCAAATGGGAAGCACACCCCCGCTGGTGAAAAGAAGCAAGGGAAACTAGGAACACGGCTCATGAAGCAAAAGAAGAATTCGCTGTGGCGAGTTCAAAAGAGCAGGTGTTTTGTATGGAAATCACCATGCCTGACTAATTTCCATGCTCCTGACACGCCCCCCCAAGCAGGATTACCGTTTGCCAGTCAAAATCAAGGACTGCTCCTGGAAAAAGCTACTTTTAAACGGCGTGACACACTGCCTTTTTGACAATCAAGCAACGCCCGCATTCAACGTCACAGCAAGGATTCTAAAGCGGTCAAGAACTCACGAGGGCTTTTCGCGACCAGCGTTCGCAGTGCTGAGCGGGTATGGAATACAGCGTCGTATTATGTCAAAAGGGCATGTGCCAGCACCCCTGGATCAACGCGGGGTGTGTGTGTGTGTGTGACGGAATGGACGACTTGCCTTGGTTACCGAGCCCTTGAATGCTATTGAGTGGGATCGCACAATTTTGACATTTTGGGAAAGTTGTGATTTCACCAAAACCTGTTTGGCCATGGCCCTCAAGGCGTCCAAAGCCAAATCTTCCAATGCTGTCTCTGCTGACATTTGGGCCATAGAGCCCCCGCCTCCCCAGCTCGTTTTTGTGACGTCGGGGTCGCCCTCTGAGCCACAACTCACAGGGCACATGAAAAAGGAACATGAGAAGGGGTTTTGGAGTTTTGGAAGCAAGAAGGAATCTTGAAGAAACAAATGCTACCAACCTCGTTTGAGGTTCGGGGGACGAGCAGATCAACTCCCTGCGGGCAAGCATGCAGCAGTCTTCCGAGTTCACTCACCATGAGTTTGGTGGTCTGCTGATGGTCCAGAAGGTAAACTGAGCCGCTCGGAGATTTTTTTATATTTTTTTTTCCGGTCTCCGGGTTCCCCCCCCTTTTCTTCTTGGCCAGGGAAGTCGAAAAGAGCCGGCAGTTCTGGGTTCCCAACATGGACACATCCTCATGGCCTCCCGGACGCCCGCTCCGCGACCAATGCTCGGGATCAATTCGGTTTGGGTCGATGGTTTGGGGACCAATGTTCGGAGCCCTTGCGGACCCCCGAGCCAATGTTTTTTTGTTTTTTCCCCCTTTTTTTTTCTCTCTCTCTTTTTCTCTCTCTCTCTCTCTCTCTTTTGGTCTGCTGTCGCCGGTGATTGTTCTTTATCCAAAGGGGTTGCCCCGGAAGAGATCAACCACCCAGACAAGTCCCTTTGGTGCCCTTCAAGTAGCCAGCCAACCGAAAAGAAGGTTTCATTTCCGCTTTCCTTTTTCGGACGGCATTTCCTTTGCAGAATTCAACCGCCCAAAAGGTCTCGCTTCTTGGCGAAGCGCTGGTGCTAAGGCCCTATGCCAATCCCGCTGAGGGAATGCCTGGCGCCGCTTTTTGAATGTGGCTCCCCGCGTTGTGAACAGATGTTCCTGCCTCGCTCCGGCGGCGCGTCTCTGGGCATAACTTTTGAACCAGAATTCGTTCGCCTGAAGCAAATCGGGGGATGGGACGAGGCTTCCCAACCAATGTGGGTGCTTCCAAAACGAGAAGCCGAAAAAGGACCTCAGCAAGAATGTCAGGTGTCCTGGTGAGACCACTTCAAGCTATTTGAAAGGAGAGTTTGTGGGTTCCCTACTTTTGGAGGCACCCATGTCCTTTGCCAGGTAGATGCATGAATGTGCGAGCCAATTTTGTGGGCCTTTCCAGCGCCCGCTTCGTGAGCCCGCGAGGGGCGCGGGAAATGGCCCGAAGGGCTCTTTGAAGCGGACAGGTCTCTTGCGGGTCGGTTTGAATGCACCCGCAACGACCCGCAAGTCGCAAATTCGCGGCGTTTCAGAAATCGAAAGGCCTTGCAAGCAGCACAGATGAATCAAGCGACAGTTGAGAAGCTTGATTTGTGGTCTCCCCAGCTAGTTTCGGAGGCGCATGGTCTAAGTTAAAAGCTGTGTTTTTATTATTGGCACAAGCCCCTGGAGTGAAGCCAGCGTCCAGTTGCTCGCTTGGGGTTCTGGTGCCAGGGGAGTGTACATATCTTGTGCATAGCGCGGTAAGGTTTGATGGAACCAGGTCGAACAAAAGACTTGTGCCTGAAGCGGTACAGGGCATTTGTAAACGGATGCCAACCAATGCCTCTGAGCAGCGTGAACTCAGAATACCCCTCCCTCTCACGCTGTGCTGGGTCAGCAATGTAGCTGCTGGCTTCAGCGCGGGCGACTCGCGACTCGTGAGCGGTTGCCCAAAACCGCGCGCTTGACTGCGTCCGTGGATGTGGAGTCAGGGTTCCCGAAATAGGTGATAAGGGGGAATACAAGGAACACTGCGAGCTGGCAACAAGTTTCTTCCCTGACCCTCTTGAGCATTAAACATGCTCCCGCCAAGAAACATGGATGTGTTTCCAAAGGAAAGGCAAAAGAGTGTGTGCACATGAACCTTGGGATGGGTTTCTTCACAACTCAGGCGGTCAGATCTGCCCAGTTTGCAATGCTCAGGTCAGTTTGGGGTTACCCGGTCGCCCAGAGGGCAACCCGGGGCTGACTGAGACAATGGCTCCTGTTTGCCGAGGGGCCGGTTGTGTTGCGTTTCACCAGTCCGTTAAAAGGGTCAAACACCAGGCCCCGATTTTTAGGCCGGAAGGCTCACCTTCCGCAACTTCAGGGCAAGGAACAGTTGCCCAGTTGCCCAGTTGCCCAGTTGACCTGACCGGCCTGTATGTTTTGGCACCTGCCTTGGCTCCCGGGGTTTGGAAAGGGGCCTTGAATTTTTGGATCGGGTTGTTGTACCTCCCATGGCACCCAAGTTTCGAGTGAGTTGCTTTTTTGCCCCAGGCTCTTGTTTGCGACCTTTTAGTTTCTGGTTAATCTAAGAAGCCTCGGATCTCTCCTAGCCAAGAGATGGGTCTTGACTGGCTCCATCAAAGGGGGCTTGGGCATTTGTCGAACCCAGTTGGGTCTGTCGATCCTTTGAGAGTGGTTTTAAAGGGAAACCAAACCGAAGACCCACACCTCGTATTTTCAGCTTTCTTTGGGCCAGTGTTTGAGGAGTGGCACGCTCATTGCGGCCTGAGGTGTTGCCGGATGAGGTGGGGGAGGCATGCGCTCACGTTGTGGAGTTGCAGCAGATGATGGAGGCGAACCGCGCCAACGGGGCAGTGCGAACCCGGCTTTTTTTCCCTTACTTTTTGCTGGGTCCCGTTTGGGGTGGATCCTTTTAAATCACCAGTCAGAGGGCGATGTTGAGGATGTTTTGCTACAATGGACTCAGTTTTGCCTAGCCCTTCGGCTTTTCAAGGACCTTTTTGGGTTTCTTCATTCTCCCGTAAAAAGAGAAGCTGCCTCCTGCCGGGGGTTTGGCCAAGTCTGGCCGATTTTGCCCCATCACGTGGTAGGTGACCTGTTGGCAATGGGAAACCAGTGACCAGGCCCAAACTGGATTCCCATGAACCTGTGCAAGCATGATGCACCGGGTGGTGCCCTTTCATATTGACCCAGGATGAACGACCCCCAGGTTTGTTAATAGGGGTGTCCGATTTAAGAGGGTATCCTTCAGTTTTGAGGGGAGCACCCTTGATCAGTCCGGTGTCAACATATCCCGTTTTCTACTTGCGTGCTGGGGCAAGTAAGGTTGGACAACGTATGTGGCATCCTTGTGTCAGACCTCTTTGTAGCCAAGGGTTTCGACACAACTGGTTGTGACATTTGTATCTTGCGTGCATGTTTTCCTGTGAACATGAAGTCCTACTAAGCTATCTGCTAAGCCGTCTGCTGGACGGTAGGGGCATTATGGTTGTGGAGAATGAGGTGTCTCCATGACTACCTTTCAAAACTCCAGTTGAAAAGTGACAGTCAGTATTCACAGGGATGTGAGTCAACCACAACCGCCCCATTTCCCCCCAGGCATGCCTGTGTGAATAACATTGATTCAATCATGCGGTGCCACAATCAAAACCGGGATGACTGTTTGGGGATGGTCCGCTTCGCTTTGGCATGTGTGGAAAGCTGGCCCTTTGCTTCTCTCACTCCCTGAGTTCTTTTGGACTTTAGTCAGTTTTTGGGTTTGGACCATTTTAGTGGTAAACAAATCAAACAGTTTGGACACTTTGGTTGGCCCATCCACTCAGTAAGTGAGTTCTTTCTCCTTCGCGGTTCCTTTCGGGTAAGGCACCCTTTTCCAGGCATGCGGCCTGGGGGATTTTTTCTGCTTGGTTTGCTGTGCCGAAAAGACGCGCCGTTCCCACCTGGGTGGAGCATGGTGGAGCCTGGGTCTGTGTTTCCCCTCTCTTACTGGAAACCTCCGCATTCTGGGCGTGGAATCCCTGGCTGAGTTCCCCTTTTAGCGGGGCTTCAGATTCTGCTGAGATCCCCTCTTGGAATTTCCCACAGTGGCAATTTCACACCACCAGCACATTGCCACTTTCAAAGCGACATTTCGCGACCCCTGTCTTTTGTGAACATGGCCGCGATCGGAATTTTGGAGTAGCCCTCACGCAGGACAAGCCGGACAGCTTGGTGGTGGAGCTATTGCACGCAGGGGCGCCCATCGCTGTGGTCTTTGGTCCACACTCAACATGAGGGGCTTCTTCGTCGTTCTTCAAAGCAAGGTTTGGCTTGCCAGGCTCAGCTTCCCATTCTTTTGCTTTTTGTGGCCAGAGTTTTTTCCAATTCCCTTCGTTTCCGTCGTAAACCAGCAACGAGTTAAGATATTTACAGCGGACCTCGCTTTCTTTCTGACACTTGATCCCGCTGTTTGCTCGTGGATCTGGTTGGCAATCTTTTGAATAGTGCTTCTAGAAGTGGATTTGCCCTACCCTCAAAAAGTGGTTTCCCTTGGGTTTCCCTACAACGCAATCCAAGCATGGAGTCAACTTGCCCCGATCTATCCATGTTTACATAAGGATATACTTTTTTCCAATTAATGTTGACCCCATATTGATCAACCCCAGTTTATGAACAGGGGGGTTGTCCCTGGGTTTAGTGGGGAACCATCACTTTTGGAGGGGAACACACCCCCCATTAACGAACAGGGGTTGATTAATATGGCCATGGGTCAAAAGCCACGTACCCCCAGTGAACATCCCAATCCCCACTCAAATAGATTCTAAAATGGGTGGTGAATTCACCTACCAACCAAAATGGTATTCCATTGGTTTTGCCAACCACAGCCATACATCACCAGGTTTCAGGGCCCCGGCGACCCGGCCATGGCCGCAGTTTTCCAGGTGGCCGCCTATCAGGGCACACTGGGCCACAATCTCTACGCCACCGAGAAGGAGCGACGAAAACCGGTCCCTCAAGAAATGGCGGGGATTCTTAAGAAGTGGAACGACCTGAAAAGTGGTTGGTGCACATCAGCCCCCACCTAAATGAGGTCCACCAAAAGGTCCCTAGTTTCAATTCATGCCCAAATCACATTGTTCATGCCTAGTTTCTCAATTCATGCCTAGTGTCTTTTTCCCCTTTTGGTCAGGGGACCCGTTCAACTTCCGCTCGCTTGCACCAAAGGACATGCATGTGTGTAGCATCCGAAAGCAACCCAGGAGGAAGGACTACTTTCACCTAATGTGGGTTCCTTGGAATGCTCCAGTCAATTCATCAACTTTTGACTTTTGAATCCAATGACCCAGAAAGTTGTCGAGGCCACGGTGTTTTGCTCGGAGCAAAAGCGAAAGCTCTGAAGCTTGCTTCCTTTGGCGTTCCGGAGCTCTCATGAGCTCACCTATGGAACAAGGAGCTTAGGGCCGAACAACTGCTGGTTCCCCGTTTGGCTGCCGAAGGTTGGAATTACAGGAACTTGGTATTTGGCCGCAATCACCTGGCCGAATTGCTCTTGTTGGGTTGATTTCGGCCCTCTTTCGCGGTCCTTCCAGCCTGGGCCGCGAAAGGACTCCTCCCCTGTCATTTCCCAACAGAAAAAGCGGAGTGGCCAAACCTTGCTCTTTGGGCAGCGGTCAAACGCTGGGGAGTCCTGTGTGTGTGATCAAGTTGACAGAATTTCATGGGTGCTTTGCTTGGGGTACCCTTCTTTGGGTTGGAACCAAAAGGAAGCAAAGCATTTTGTGGGTTCCATATGTTGAGACAAACCCAAATTGCGCCCAAAGTTGGGCCAAGTGGATAGACAGGCGGAAGTCACAACGCAACGCATTTGGAGGGCTGGCGTCGCACATGAACACCCCGCCTCTGTTTCGCCTTGGCACAAGATTTGCGCCCCTTGCTACCCCACCCAAAGCCAACTTGTTGGTCTCTTTCATGTTGGCAGCCATTAGACAAGTTCCCAAAACGGATCCGCCCTTCTTTCCAGGTCCTTTGGTTGCGAGTGAGAAAAATCTACTCCTCCTCCCCACTGCTCCTTCCATTGTCCTCTTGAGACACCTGAAAACGGCCAAGTATTTCAGCAGAACCTCAGCTTGTCGGCAAAGACCGTATGGGCTGGGCCCCTGAGCCGGCCAAAGGGGCGGCCAAAGGGGCCCACAGCTCCATCCCTTCTGGGCAAGTTGCAAGGAGCTGCACAGATGGGGGCTGCGAATGTTATCTGGAAATCGCCCGCAACGGGGCTAGCATTGCTTTCCGGTCCCTTCCTCCGGCAAACAGATTGGATGCGATTAATCTGTGGAGTCCTTTCTGTTGTTTTACCAGTTGTTCCTCTTTCAATGCTCTTTCCGTCCATCCCTTCGCGAGACGCGGTTTTGACGCAGCTGCGCGCTTCGGCCCAAGCCGCGCCTTCCGCGCGCTGCGGAGTGGCGCGGAGTGGCGCGGATGCCGGAGATTCTGTCGGGCGAGTTTTCCCCGCTGGGGCGGTCCACCGGACGATCCCTGCAGCGCCTGCGGAGCCAGGCCGGGGGGAGCGTGGCGATCAAGCCGAAGGCGGCCTTCGAGGTGGTCTTTCTTGTTGAGGGCTCCCCGAAATGGTGGTCTTCTTTTTGGTGGCCCTTTAAAAGCCAAAACAAGGGGTAGCCTCAAAAAAAGACAGGCCCAATTTGACCCACTACTAAGCCCCTGATGGATGAATTGGGGGGCTGTCCCATTTCAGGAGGAACATCCGTCGCTTTTGCGGAAAGACTTCCTATGAATCCACCAGGTCCGGCCGACATCGATGGGCCAAGCCTTGAGGGCTAGAAAGCTGGTGAAGCATTTCTTGGCTTGCTGGTGCTCAGCAGGGAATGAGTTGGAATGACCCCCTACAAACAATCCAACTCCTTTGAGGGACACCCTAGGTTCAATCCCAAAACTCTGGGTCATTCCCTACCTACACCAGCTGCTTTGCAGGAATTTTGGAGCGACCCTGGATAAGGAACCTTTGGGAAGGTGAAGGCAGCCACCGTTCTCCTTTCTGGGCATTTGCAATGTATTCTACCCTCCCACCCTTTTCACATGGAGCCTGGCGTTGGGGGGGTCCCTTCAATCCCTTTAAACGGAAAATGGTCCAAACCAGGATTTCTTCAAAGGTCATGTTCTATGTGAAAAGGGTGGAAGAGTAATTTTTACACCGTTTTAATTCTGATCGGTTTTGACTTTCACTATGACTGTGACTCATATAAGCTTTGGACAAGATTACTTGTTTTTGATCAAGAGGACATGGGATCAAGCTGAGTTGCTTCTTCAGATGGATGCTTGCGCGTTAATCAGGGCCCATTTTTTCAGTCCCCGAGAAACCAGCAGCAGATCATGCTGCGCGGCACCACCAAAATAGAACTCGTGTGGTTGGGTGCGGTGAGTTTGGGATATCCTTCCTCATCCGCAGACTTTTCAGAGGACTTTCTTCGGCCGGGCCGCATGTGCTCCAAGATTGGACAATTTGGTCACTTGCGTGGTGATTCAGTATGTTTTATCTTCAAGACAGACATGCCGTACATTCCAGAGAGGCACCAATTGCACTTTTCAACGTCATTGCCATGCATCAGATGCATGCTTCCGAAGCCGTGGCCTCACCCCGCGGACCAACTCTGGTTTTTTTGGACCCTAGATCAATCCGATCTTGGCGGTGTGTGTGGCTAGATTGTCAATATTGTTGTCAGCGGCTCATAATGAGAAGGGTAGACTACCCATGCAAGAAGATCCCCAAATTTTCCTATGTCCATTCCAGAACATTTGTAGTTTGCACCGTACGAGGCTCAATTGCCATCTACCGCTGTAAAGGGGATGACATGGCTCGTACTCACCAAAATGCAATGCGGACATGGGGGTTCAATTCCCATATGAGGAGAACCCAGGATGAGGCATACTCACCAAAATGCAATGAGGACATGGGTTCAATTCCTGTATGAGGAGAACCTCAAATAGCAGGAATCCTGTTTCACAGCTTTTTTCCGGGGACGCCCAAACCACCCCAGCATTTCTTTTTGGGATCTGTTCATTTTGAGCGGCAGCCGAGAGCAGACGTGTCTTTTTTCTGCTCAGAAAGGGTTGGAAAGTGGAGTTCTGAGTTTGCTCCAAAGGACTTGGCGCCACGTTTTTTTTTTGGGAATTCGAACCCAGGGATTGGCGGCGCCCCTTTTTGGGATCCACGGAACCCAGGGGAAAGGTCCTCCTGCCATGTTCGTGCGCCGCTTTTCTGAGGTGGAGTCTCCAGGGTCCCCGACCTCCTGGCCCGCCTCGCCGACGTCCCCCGGCTCGCCCACGTCGCCCAAGGAGTCGGGCGAACAGTGGTCGCGGGGCGTGGAGTTCGACGGGAAGAGTCGTGGGTTGGTATGGCTTAGACTCTTAGGGGGCTTTTGGTGCCTCTGGCCCCCCGGTTCAAATGGGAAAAGCACACACAATCACACATCCCTTCCTGCCTTTGAAACCAAACGAAAAAAGGTCAGAAGCGGCCCTTCCCGCCGCAAGAGGCTCGGCCCCGGCGCACGCTTCTTTTCTTCGGGCAGGGGGGTTCCCGAATTTTTGGGGTAGGACCGCGCCGAGAAGCCGGAGAAGGCCGAGAAGCTCTTGGCCAAGTTCCGCGCCTCGACTCCGATGACCCGAGAGACGAGCACAAGGAGCCCAAGGAACCGACCCGTTGACGGGTGCTTTCTCCCTGGCTGAAGCGTGGGTGGACTTTTTGGAGGGGCCGAAAACCACCCCCCTGTCAAACAGGTTGGTTGATTCATAAGGGATCAACATTGTGTTCAGGTGACTCTGAGTTGGTGGTGTGGAGATGGGTGGTTTGGATTCGGATTCAAATCTGGCTCTTGTAGAGGGTAAATGGGAAACCACCCCCGAAACACCACCAAACCACCGAGCTCCAAACCACCAATGCAAGAGAGGTATATACGAGGTATGCAAGAACTAGCGCACTATGCCTAGACAAACCCACCGATCTGTCTCATCATGACGGCCAATTTGAGGCGGCCCTCCGCTACCTCAACACATTTTTTGGGGGTGTTGCTGTTGTTCTCCCAAGCAAAGTTTCCAGGAGCAAATTTTGTCGAGTTGGACCCCAACTTGAAACCCAGTCCAAGGCTTCCCAACGATCAAACGGGAACGCAAACAGAAGATCTGCCCCCTGACGCCCCGAGTTTGCAAGCCCAGTGCCCTCGAGTGGGGCGACAGTAGGCTTGGGCCAACCCCTTTGGGCATGCGGAGAAAACAACACGATTGTTTAAATGGCATAATGGGCGTGTCAGTTTTTAGGGGACCCCCCAAAAATGTGTGGTTTCCCTTTGGTTTCAATTTAGAACTACCCGACAAAGGGTACCTGTTGGCGAGCAACACTCATACACAGTCCTGATCAGAGATAGGCGCCCTCTCATTCCTGACATTGTGTTTGGTGGACTCCTCTACCAGACTTTGATCTTGGCTTTGGTCAACAGGTGACCCCAAGTCGGTGTTGTTTTTTGAAGAAACTGCAGGTTGGCTTAAACAAGGAACGCCAAGATCTATTCCCTTTTGGAGTCCGCTGTTTTGAGTGGGTGTGTGTCCAAATAATAGGGATTCGGCCCTAAACAAATTTCGGCTTTGGTTTTCCCTCAAACCAGCCTTAAAAAGGCTAGCCGAAGGCACGCAGCCAACGTACTGCAAATGAGACAGACCTTAAGGCCATGGGGCAGCTGTTGTCTTTCTTGTCACCTACTACGCAATACAGATGACGTCTGCCCACGAATCATGTTCACGCGGTTGCACTATTTACGGCTCCAACCGTGTTTCAGTACGCTAATCCCTTTGATCTTGCAGCAGTCAAGGACGAACCCCCACCCCCTAAAAACCGAGAGCCATAGATCCACCGCACGGCAGTGCCCCGCGCCCCTCGTTTGAGGCGTGCAGCGGTCCCCGAGCTCTCCATCGCTGGCCTCCACCGCCG